GAGAAACACAATGACATAACTGGTTCCACTGAGAAGGAAGGAGATGGGACAGGGAACACAATCCGGGGGCTTAAAAGATAATGGTAATGTTCATTTCTTAAACTGGGTGGCTTTCGTGTCATTATTCTTATTTCTTAGATGTGTTCTATAAATCATTTTGTATTCTCTCAATATGTAATTAAAACATATAAGAGAAAAAGATGAAGAAGAAATGACCAAAGTTTGCCATGGTGGGAAAAGCACCAGTGAATTGACCAGGGGATGGGGCGCGCCCAGTTCTGGTCCCCGCTCCTTCCTAACTTATAGTTTGCTCTGGATAGAGGCACCTACTTTCCTCTAACTTCATCTTTTCACTTTTGATTGGGGCTGATAATACATACCACACATAAATTTTCTGAGGATCACAAAAGGCAATGGTGATGACGGTGCCTTGTAAAACTAAAAGGGCCATGCAAATATAAAATGGCATTATTCTTGATAATTTCAGATTTGCTTGTCAGAGAACAAAAAGCCACAACTTGTGACTCAGTCCTAAACACTTCCTACTGGGACCCGCCCTAGTTTACAGGAACAGAGCTGTGGTGCAGCTGTTTCCGTTTCCCAGGTGACTAGGTTATAGATAGGATTAATGTCAATCAAGCACAGCAAGGGACCAAGGAGGGGAACTGGGGAAGGCAAAGCCATTCCCACTGTCCCACCTGCTAGCGTCTCGGACTACCTGGCCCGGCCTCAGGGTGTGATGCCCCCAGCTCACATTTGAACCTCTCCCTCTCCTCTAAGCCTGCATCCTGCTCCACAGAGTGAGCTCAAAGGGTTCATTTCTGACTTCTCAACAGCTGGAGGCAAGTGCAATAAAAACCCTCAGTCTGTGCTCCTCTCCACACCCAATCCTGCCCTTTGACAGCACTCACCAAATTCCATTGTAAATGTTGCTTCCTCCCACTCACCACCCCCAAAAAAATCCTTAAAAATCATACTCTCAAAGCCAACAAAAGATCTGTTATTTGCTTGGGGTTGTTTTATTGTTTAAACCTATGTTCCTGTTTCCCTCCACTACTGTGGATGCACCTGGGTGTTCAGCAGGTGGAGTGTGTGCATTTGTTGATTCTCTTCAACCTCTTGGCTGGCTCACCCAACAGATCCCTAGAAATGAAGGGTTGATGGCCTTCCCTGAGCCCTGCCCGAGGCGGGAGGGGTCTTTGCCCACAGAAACAATCCCTCCTTCCTCTTTTATGAAGATCTTCTCAGCTCAGAAAGCTCAAAGCAGGGGAGAGGGCAGGACTCAGGTTTTGTCTCTGCAAACGGCCTTCCCTTTGTTGACTTGTTAATGGTAGGTGTGTCTCAGGTGTAGCGGAGTCGCTTTATTTGGGGGTTGATTGCTGGAAGCCAAAAGGTCCCCCTGCTACACTCCCTGGGCATCCAAGTTCTGTCTTTCTCTTCACAGAAAGGTGTACTTGAAGGACAGGGCTGGGGCACCACCACCATGGGCCCCTCCCCAGGGGTTCAGGGAACCACCCCAACTCTCCCCACAGCATCCTGCTTTCTGTCCACACGAGGGCGCTCACTCCATACCCGAAGTTACTGGTCACTGCCGACTGGGCAGACCAGGAGCTGGGGTGTGGGTCCCTTCCTGTTAGCCAGCTATGCAAGTTTCTACTCCCTGCGAGGCAGAGGAAACAACTAGAGGAGGGACTCCAAAGGTGATGCTTCCAGCCTGCTCAGGACATCCCCACCCCATGGAGGAAGGAGACCTACTTCCATAAATTGGGGCCCCCAGGGAATTGGGAGGTGAGTAAAAGGGGAAGGAGGACATGGTCTTACCCTGAAGTCCCCGGAACCTAAGGAGGAACTTGCCTGGTTCAGACTAGGCCTGGAGGGCATGGAACTGTGACAAATGCTGCACTGCCCTGAGACAGTTTCCCTTTGCTCCCACCTTCTGCCTGAAAATACTAATGCAAACAATGCTGATGAGGCCTAAGAGTCAGTCTTTGTTCCAGGAAATAACCAGGGTGATTCCTTCTGCTGGAGCTGCAGGGATGGACAGGGCCCCATACTGACAGAAAGGCTTGAAGCTGCAGTTTGCCCAGCCCCAGGGACCCCCACCTGACCCCACCCCAGGACTCATGTGTTCCCGCAGATGTCAGGTCCTCAGATGGCCACCCCAACACAAAGGATGTTGTCCCTGAGTGCAGGGACAGACTCCTAAAGCACGCCTCCCACCTCAGACCAGGGCGTGGGCAGCTGCAGTGAACTCAGCCATCCTCAGTAGTCTCAGAAAGAACACTCCCAGGCCAAGCTTTTGCTAAGCCACATGTGCCCTCTCGGCCCCCGCTTCAATCACTGTGGGGAGAAAGTGAGCTGGCCCAGCCCAGGGCCCTCCTGGCTCTTCTTCTTTCACCACACCCAGAGCAAAGCACAGTGTTCTACGCTAGGACCGTCTCTGCCCCACTCTGGACCCATCACGGCCTGGCTCAAGCACCATTTCCCTTTCCAAGACCATCCAGAACCCTCCCTACCGGGAACCACTTGTGCATTTCCTTAAGATGGCTTTGTCCAGAGGGGGCACCTTTTCTAACTCACATAATGAGCTACGAGCAGCCTTCAGAGTTGGATCCACCGTCCTATGGACCTTCCTTCCCACCAGCTCCCCTGACCTGGTGAGTCACTGAGTCACTCCCGGAGGTTACTGAACAAACCCCCACACCGGCTGGTACAGCACCAAGCAGAGGAGGAGAGAGAACTCATTGGGAAGCCAGGACACATGAGTAGATTTGACAAAAATACCTATATATTTATTGCACGGTTACCCACCACTGGAATTGACTTGAGCCAACTAGAGGGTGCCCCCACCTTCCCAATTTATTTTTAGCCTCATGGTAGAACATGGCCAAGCCCCCCAGAAAAATGACATGTTCTGAAGTTCACCATCTGGTCCTGGCTGGGCCTGGGCTGGCCATGGGCACTCCAGTTTCAGACTCTTCTGCAGCTTCTAAAGTGTTGCAGTGAGAAATTCAGACTCAGTGCTGATGAGAACGTGGGTTCTCTCCCTTTCTCTCTCCCAGGCAGCCCTCACTCTTATATGTTGCTCAAGGGGGTGCTCACTTGTCACCAAGGATCCCAGTCCACCTTGGATTCACTTGGCTTTACCTCTGCTTTGCTCCTGCCCCTCACTCAGAGGGAGTGAATACCAGGCTTGAGAGTATCCCCCATGCCCTCAGGGGAGTGGACCAATGAGCTCAGTGAGGCCTGAACTAGGACCCCAGCCCCTGTGTCAGATGCATTGAGCACGTCCCCGTCTCTAATCGTGCTCCTAAAGGGCGAGAGAGGTCGAAGAGCTAAGGAGGATGGGTGGTTCAAGTATTCTCAGGAGCATATAGGGCTGCAGCTGAAAACTGTCCTCCAGGGGTTCCAAAAGAAGTAGGGAGGTAAGGCGGGCGGGGGGCGGGGCGGGGGTGCGTGCGGAGGCTGCACGCCCAGCCCTGCACGCACAGCCTCCCAGGGCCACACACTGCGGGATGACACACCCAGGACGCGCCCTCTCGCACGCCAGAAAAGCCTTCTGCGGGAGCCGCGCCACCGGAAGCCTTAGCCCGGGTCCAGCCCACGCTCCTGACTCCTGCATAGACCTGCCCAGTGTGGAGGCCGCACGGTGCGCCTCCGCGGCTGCGGCTGCACCAGCCCCGGGGCGGCCGAGGGACCGCTGACCTGGCCAGAACTCACCTTCTAGCTGCAGCCAAGCCAAAGGGAGCCGTGGAGGGGATGCACTGAGTAGTCGACCTGTCTGCCTGCCGGCCCGCCACGGTTTGCGCAACACCCACCCGGCCCATTCAACTTTCCATGCCCGCTGCTCTGGGGCCGTTGCGGAGGGTGTGGGAGGGGGCTAGCGGGAAGATGAGGAACCCATCTCAGTTTGCCTGCCGCAGCCACAAGTGACACATGGGGACAGGAGGTGCAGAGCTAGAGCAATGTGTGTAGGGGGGGAAAGGAGGAAAAGGGTGAAGGAGAGGGTGTGGCCGGTGGTCTACAGGATATGATTCAAATTTTAAAGGACTTCAACAACATCTGTCAGCCAACAAAAATAAATTCCTACCACTGCCCAACTTCCTCTCCCCCCACCCCCACCCCCCGCCCCCACCCTCCCAAACCTGGATTTCTACCTGGAGCTTCAGGGTTCATGAGCCCAGCCAGTAAGCGTCTCTAGTTATTTACCCTCCGCTGGAGAGTGATGGTTGGGGTGGAGCTTGCTGCTGCCGAGGGGGAAATGGGGGAGAGGGAAGAGGGCTGCCAAGCTTGCCCATCTTTTTCTTTTCTTTTCTTTTTTAATGTATTGATTTTAGGGAGAGAGAGAATTAATTTGTTCCACTTATGTATGCATTGATTGGTTGATTCCTGTATGTGCCCTGACTGGATATTGAACCCACAACCTTGGTGTATCAGGTCTATGCTTTAAACAACTGAGCGACCCGGTCAGGGCCCAAGTTTGCCCTTCTTATTAGTGTTGTCAGGGTGGACTCCTATGAGCTGGTGACAAGTCAGACTGGCTTGCCCACTACTACCCTCAGGTACCACACCCCAGACAATCCCAGCGTCCTCACCCTCAAAGCACCTTCCCCCGTAGCTTTCTCTGCATCTTAGCAGCATCCATGGAAAGCAAGCAAAAGCCTGGCCCCACTTTCTAGAAGGACAGGACTAAGCCCGGATAAGCTCAGTGACATCCAGGGTAAAGAAGACCAGGAAGAGGAGTGGGAGGCCAGGACCCTAACACCCAGAGGCTCTCAACCCACTCAAGGTGAAGCTCTGCCTTGCCCCACCGCACCCCCAGCCAAGGTGGACAAAATATCTTCAAAACCAGCCTCCAGACTCCCAGAATGGAAAAATCTTTATTTCCCCTGGCAGAAGGGAAAGCTGAAGTAGGGTCCATCTGGGAGGGAGAGGAGCACACAGGGCCACAGAGCATCTGTGACAGGAGCTGCAGAGGCCGGGGCAGGGGCTGAACCCAGTCATTTGCGGTCCTCTAGGAAGAAGTCATTGTAGGCCATGCACAGCGTGGTCAGGAACACCGAGTACTCCTTAAAGTCGATCTCCTGGTCGCTGTTTTTGTCCAGGCTCTTCATCAGGTCGTCGATACTGCTCTCCTGCATTTTCTTGGAGGGCCAAGGTACAGTGACCAGTCAGCCAGCCCTCTCAACCCGGCCCCATCCTGCGTGGCGCCTCCCATCCCCGGGGAAGACAGCCTCACGGGGATCCCCAGCTGAGTCAGCAACTCTCTGAGCATCTGGACCCCCAATCTCTCCCCAGCCCACACCCAGCACGGGGCCTGGCACCAAGCCGGGGTGTGGACCTGACACCTGAACTTAAATAAATTACAGCAGGAAGGCCAGGCCGCCCTCCCTTTCCCTCACCACTTTCCACCATCCAGATAACATGTGATAGCAACAGCTTGGTAACAATGTGGCACTGAGCCTGATCCAAGTCTCTGACTAAATATGTCCCATTAGCAAATAGGTGAGGATTGACCCAGACTACGCGCCTCTCCATGACAGCAGCCTGTCGGAGCTGAGGAGCCGCGGTATCCCTCCTTGCTAGGAGAACCTGCAGGGCAGCTGTATGGAAATGAATGCCCACTGCCCATCTGCAATCCCTGTCTGGTCCCCTGCCCTCCCAGCCCAGCTCCACCAAGAGAATGGAGACAGGGCCCTGGAGTGGTACAGGAAGAAAACACAGACACCCTGCCCTCCCCCCTCCACTGCCCACAGCTCCAGCTTTTCCACAGGAGACAGGACGTCAGGACATACAGAGATGGAAACAGCCTCTCTGTGATGCAATCCTTGTCCCCAGTCTGGGCTCCTGTTATAGCCAGGCCCTCCCCAGGGCCTCTGTCCTCCCGTAATTAACCCCGACAGGACCCGTGGCCCCTCCCTCTGTCCTCATTAACTCCAAGATGCAGGAAATGTGGCAGGAAGGCCAGAGAGTAGGTCTGGAGACACCCACACCTGCTCAGTCCCCTGCCCAGAGGGGCACACTGGGGGGGCTTCTCTCTGGCGAGGCGCACCAGGGTTCAGTATATGACTGAATTTTAAAGGAAGAGTGATACACAGGCCTTGCCTGGAGTTCCAGCTCAACCTCTCACCAGCTGGGTGTCTCTAGACAAGTCATATCATGTATCTGAGCCTCAATTTTTTTAACTGTAAAAATATCATAACTACTTCATAAGCCTTCCCCCTCTATCAGTTGCCTCTCTCCCACCATCTGCATCTGGTAAGAATCAGTTCCGTCTCCTTCCAAACCTGTGTTCACAAACTAGCAGAGCAGTACTTTTGGTTCCTGGGACAGCACCAGTTGAGAGCTCTGCATGTGGGGGCCCTGCCCTTGAGCTGTGCACAGCTCGGCCTAGACCCCCTGGGTCCCCTTATCCCCTATAGTGCCTAACACAGGCTCTGCCACCACTGTGCGGGCCTGGCCTCAAATCAAAGCTTCCTTGATTTCGTTCTCTGAAGCCTCACACGGACTTCCTCCTTCCCAGTGAAATCTGACTTATCCCCCAGCTCAGGGATCTAGTGTTCTGTTGGCCCAAGGTGCTCACTTTCTTCCTTTGGTCTCTGTCCCTTTTGGCCATCCTGCTCCTGGCTGAGATTAAAGTACCCCGAGGGCAGACGTGTGTCTCCTCACTGGAAGCAGGGCTGGGTCTCTCACCTCCACTGGGACCCTCTGACAGTGATATCAATGCTTTGGTACTTCCTTTTTTTCTCCCTCCCCTCCCATGGGGCCAACAGGGAATACACGAACTTTGGCAGAGAGGTGAGGGGGACAGCCACTGACCTCACCAAGACACAGCTCCTGCTTGATCAGCTCCTTTAGTTCCTTCCTACTCAGGGTCAGTTTGCTGCCCTCTCTCCCCGAATATTTGTGGAAAGTGGTGACCATCGTGGCCAGGGCCTTCTCAAGAGGGGTCTCCATGATGGTGTGCAAATCTGGGGGGGAAGGGGGGACAGGTCACATTTCCAGGGGAGCCAGACCTTCTGCTGCCTCCTTTCACTAGCCCGCCTCCCAGACCCATCCCTCAAGGATCAGAGACTAGAATCCATGATGAAACCAAAACCCACAGGTGGACCCTAACAGGTGGACCCTAATGTGTCAAGGATGGTTCTAGTGAGAGCCAAGCTCACCTGGAACAGCCAGAGTGACGAGACTGACCAGCTCCCGAAGGACACAGTACACTTCCCTGTTCGGGAGATGTTAAAAAGGGGGATCGGATCGAGGGGCGGAAAAATGACAAGGGGAACTCTCCAAAAGAAGAACTGGTGATAGATGATCGAGCAGGTAAGAGGTCAGGATTTTCTCCCTACCTGATCCAGCCTAGACATTCATTTCCAGAGGCACCCTAGTCACCCTCCTTAGCCTCCTGTCCTATATGGGAGTGGAGAACAGGACAAGGAGTGAGTTCAGAGGCTGGAGGCAGCTAGAGCTGGACCTGGGAGACAAGGTCTCAGCCGGAAACGGAACAGACATAATTGGACTTGTCCAGCTGGTCTCTAGTCTCTGGCCCAGAGAACTGCGCACACAGACTGTCCACGAGGCAGCAAAGGAGGTTGGGCTTACTGAAATCTCCAGATCATTCTGAGAGCTGGATCAAGAGGGTGCATTGGATGGGGCCCTCTGGTCCATCAGCACAGCTGCACCCACCCAAGGAAAGAGGCAGCTGGAGCTCCTGTGACTCACACTTGAAAACCACTTCCCCCTTTGAGAGGAAGGAGGCAACACCCAAGGAACTTGGAGGCTGCAGGTAAATCTGTGCAGAGTCCAGAGCAAGCAGCAGAAGCTGCTTTGGGCTCTCATCGTCAGCCCAAAGACTACCCCATGATTCTTGAACTGGACCTGCCATTTACCTCCCACCTCCCAAAAGCCTCAGCTTCTCCCCATCTCCAGGAGACTCAGCCAGGACCAAAGCGAAGGCAACCCTAGAGCCCCGTCTCAGGAAACGCTGAAAGCCACTGTTCAAATGCCCTGCCCTCCCTTCCCTAAATAGGTGCCCACTCATTGGGTTGGGTCTTCCTTGGTGGAGGTCACCATGGCTTGTCACCCTCTGGCCTCATTGCCCAGCTTGCCCTACCATATAGATGAGCAGGGAGATCAGAAAGAAGGACTCACCAAGGAAAGACCAAGCCAGAGAACCCACACAGCAGAAACAGGCTCCCTGCCACTGCTCTCCTGCCTTTATTCCCTCTCTCCAGTCCCCAGGAAATCAGCAGAGGGACAGGGCCAATGAGAAGGGGCCAGGGACACGAAGAGACCCAGGTCAGAGTCTCCTGGGACAGGGCTGGGGAGAAATCCCCTCTGCGACTCTCACCTTTCTATTTCCAAAGGAAGGAGCAGGGCACACTGAGCCCCCCGCCCGCGGCATACACATCACCAGCCCTGGAAGCTTTGTTTCCCCAACAGAAAACCAGAATCCACACTCTGATGGGTCAATAGGGCAGAAGAGAAGCCAGGCTACCCTAAAAAGAAGACCCAAGAGCTGTGGACAAAACACAGGTACCTCCCATGCCCTATGCTGCCATCCACGTGGGCCCTCCCAGTGCCCCCAAGAGCAGAGCAGACGCACCCGGAGATGGGAGTTAGTGGGGGAGGATGTTTCTTACCAAGGGGATGGTCCAGGTCATTGGTTAGTATGGAGCCTGAGGTTTTGAAAGGGCTTTCAAATGAATGATTTCCTCTACACCTCATTTAATTTTGTGGTAAACATTGGGTGGTCTCGGGCCACTGCTCTCTTGATTTTTGAGTCAATACATAGCGCTGCTGTGTGTGTATATTTTTTGTATGTATTTGCTAATTTTTATTAATTCTAGTTTTTCATTAAATAAGTCTTTCTTTTCTGTAATTCAGGCTTTTCCCAGTTTTTTTGTACCTTTTTTAAATTAGTATCTTTTTGATATGCCTAACTGTTTATGGTAAAGTTTATACATGTGTATTCCATAATATTTTTTTCTCCCCATCAATTAGTTGATTAGAAATACTTTAAATTCAGCTATTTTTGTGAAGAGTTCCAGTAAGGAAAGGCGACATCAGAAGAATTATCAGAAGCTGTTTAAAGCAGCTATAAGATGGTCGGTGTGTCTTTTATTTTTTTTTTCTCCAGTTGAGTCAGATCTTCAAACTTATTCCTTGAAAGGATAGGCTATGCTGATTTTTTTTAAACACTAAAAAAATCAGGGTTTTATTTTTTAAATATTTTGGACAAATCACATGTTTAAAATTTGTTCCCTTATATATTGGTTTTGCAAAAGAAGGCATTGTTTTACACAGTATTTGTAATTAAAAGCAAATCATTTGCTGTTTGTTTTTTTTTTAAGGCAGTTTGCAAAAAAAAAAAAGTGTTCCTGGTCTTTTATAATTCTCATTACAAGAATATCTGGCAAAAAAAAAAAAAGAATTGTCAGAGACTCTTGGAACAGAGGACTGAAAATCAGGGATTGGGGAGAGGGGTCCAGGGAAGGGCAGATCCTGGTGTGGGACAGAGGTTCAGCTTGCCAACAGCAAGTTCCAGGTGCAGTAATGAAGGGGGTGGGGTCAGGGAAAGTTGCCTGATCCCAAGAGAGACTCATTGTTCTACCACCAACCAGTCCAAGTGTGAGAACAGAACCGAGTTAAGGGCTTAGCACCTGTGGCTGCTGCAGCCCCACCCTGGCTTGCCCAGGTCTTCTTTGCTAGCCCCGCTCCATTTCCCCACCTCCACGCCGGCCCCCCCTCCACCTGCCCCGCCCCGCCCCGCCCCGCCCCGCCCCGCCCCGCCCCGCCCCGCCCCGCCAGGCTAGAGTGGCCGCAGGGACTGGTCGCCTAGCAACAGGAGTTTCCGAAGTAAAGGGTGAAACTGGAGGAGGCTCCGGGGAGGGCACTCCCCAGGGTTGTGGGCAGACTTGGGCAGGGCAGAAGGCAAATAGAGGAGAGGGAAGAGGCGAACTTTTTCCAGGACCAAAGTTCTACCAAAGTCTCTGTAGTCACGCTCTGAGGGAATATCTGAGTCATCCACCCCATTTCTCTGAAACTTGAGAGAAAAACACAGCGTGATAAGAAGAAAAAGGGAAAGCTTAAAAGGTGAAGGGGACCAGACCCTCCCTGCCTCTGGACCTGCCTTCTACTCAGCTCTTCCTTAAAGGTCCCCATACCACCCCGGTGTGGTCTGGAAAGCTAACCTCAGTCCCACCCACTGGAGGCTGGAGCTGCTGCCCTTTAACCTGTAGAAAAGCAACACCATGCCTGATATTTTGGGGGGTGGGAAGAGTCTCAATTTTATCAGATCATATGTCTGGAATTTTGTCTTCAAAATTATGGTCCCCTCCCGCTGCCTCCCTCACTCCCACCCCAGCCTCTGCCCTTCACTCATCCTTACAAGCTGTTTTGTCCTTCCCTGAAGGAGCATGATACCTAACTAATAACAGATCTCGCTCATTCCAGGACCTTTGGGGCAAAGATAAGGGGTTAGAGAAGGACAGTATTCTCAGGCAGTGGCCAACAGCCTGGTCTCCCTCCACATCGCCCCTCTGAGCCGGCCATGTCCAGGAAGGACGCATCCATCCCTGAGGGTTTAAGTCCTGCTATGGAAGGAGGTGTCAGGACTGAGCCCGCCTCCACATCCCGTGCCGGCCTCCCCGTGACTCAGCCTGTTCCCCCACCACACCCTCAAGGCACACAAACTCCATTCCAGACACAACCAGAAGCAGATGTGACCTCCCACCCATCCCAGCCTAAGTTAGCGGCCCTGCCAGAGCCACCGTTGGAGAGGTAGACGTAGCAAATGCCCTAGCTTAGATCCTAGAGCTGGGACATTCCAAGCCTCTGGGGGTCTCTCTATACTCCCTCAGTCTCATCAGAGTTAGCTCTGTCACACGCACACACACGCACGCATACACACATGCAGTCACAACATCCCTTCCCCATCCTCCAATTCTCTCCACAAAACTGCAGCTCAGCTTCCATGTCCCTCAGCCCCAACCTCATGCCCCTAGAATCTTTCAAGCCATTAGCCTCATAGCTTCCAAAAATCTTTATTGAATTTTCTCAGCATCCTTTACACATTTGGAGGGGTCAGAGTGAGGCTTTGTGCCCACTGCCCACAGGGAAAGCCCCAGCTGGCAGACCCGCACCGCATCTGAGGAGCCCTCATTTTTTCCGGGGCTGCTTATCGGGGAAGCCCTCAAAGAACTCATTGCACATCATGGCGATGCAGGAGAGGAAGACACAGTACTCCTGGAAGTCCACCTCGTTGTCCTTGTTGCTGTCTAAGTTGCTCATCAGCTTCTGGAACGCTGCTTCATCTGTTCTTTTCTGCAGGGAGAAGAGGCTGCAAGTAGACACCAGCACCCCAAGGGACACAGCCAAGACCGGACCAGGTTCCCACCTGCACATGGGGCTCGAGAAGGCGCAGTCACTGCTGAGGGGTCTAGCTTTGGAACGGCAGCCTTCAGGACTAAGCTAGGCTGGGGGTGGTTTCCCTGCAGGTGAGGAAATCTGAGTACCAGGATGTTATTGGAAAAGGGGACCACATCTTCCCCCAAGGTCTTTTTAAGAATCCAGTTAGACAGTGGTCATGAAAGCAGTACATAAACTGTGTAAAGTTTGATACAAACGGAATCTGTGACTGATCAGGGGAAATAAGCAGGCGAGTGTCTCCATAACTGTCTGCACATATAAAAACGAAATAGGAACTCAAAAATTGTTCTTTGCTAGAACGATAGTGGACCATCCTGGTTCATAGATCTCAGCTTTGCACACTGACTGCCTCGGGAAGTTACTTAGTTTCTCTGAGCTTGTTTGCCCTTCAGTTAATTTGTGCAAAGCACCCGACCAATTGTCTGGCTGGTAACCTGCCTGTTCATTCTCAGCCACCCTTCTGCTGGGCGCCAGGAAGTGAGTGGTGGGTGCTCACTCTACCTCCACCCCAGGTAACCAGAGCAAGCTCTCTGCCCCGATGTCCCCACTGGTAGATACCAGCTGTAGCCACTGCTCTGCAGAAAGACTGGTGCCTCCCAGAACCTTAACCCTTCCTCATTCCCAAGCAGTAGTCACTCACCCCCAAGAAGCTGGGCAGCTCCCGGGTCAGCAGGTCCTTTAGCTCTGACTTGTTGAGCTTGAACTTGTCACCTTCCTTGCCCGAGTACTTGTGGAAGGTAGACACCATCGCATCCAGGGCCTTCTCCAGGGGGTATGACATGGTGGCAGTTGAGACCTGCAGGGGGGGGGGGGTCACAGAGGCCTCCTCATCTACCCCACCCCACCCCAGCTACGACATGAGAATGCCCCCTCCCACCCCCATCACTCAAGGTGCACTTGGTGACATTCTCCTTCCACCACAGGGGAAGTTCAGAAAGGTGGGGCGCAGGCCCTGGCGGGAGGGTGTGCACAGTGGGAAGCATGTGTTTCGTCAGCCCACACTTGCAGCATCCACTACACAGGCTCTGGATTTCAGGCAGCAAGCTCCCGGGCCCTCACTCATTCCATTCAGCCCACAGGAGCCCGCCCAGCTCATTCTCCCCCCTCCCAGCGTTGGGCGAGGCTGCTGGAGGCCTGCCAAGGAGCCTGGAGAGGAAAACACCAGCGGTCTAGCACAGGGAGGAGCAGAGTGAGGTGACAGGCAGGGATGCCTGCGAGGCCAAGCTCCCATGGGCTGGGCTGCTGGGTGCTGAGCAGAGGCTCACGGACACTACCAGACAAAAGCCCGCCGTTGCCTTCTGCCTCCACTTTGCCTCCCACACCGGAGTATGCACACACACACCTGTGCCAGGCCACCAAACACAAGCCAATGTGCGCACCCACAGGTCACACGCACACCAAGCATACTAGAGCAATGAAATGTGCTATAGCTCAAGTCCAGCCACCTGCACGCGTCTTTCTTTTTGTTTTCTCTTTTGCACATGCATGTGTGCAAGTGCACACACATCCCACCCCAGAGCCTCCACATTGGAATCTCACATCTGGACCTAGTTAGCACATCTGGCCCCTACCAGCTTCCCCTTTTCTTGCCTGAGCCTCAGCCTGCCACCCTTTGCACACCAGTCAAGTGACCACAACTCACCAGTCCAAGAGAGAGGAAGTGCAGAGGAGAGAGAGTTGGGGAGACAGGAAGAGTGGGGAAAGCCCAGCGGTCTGACCTATTTATACCCCAGCCAGGCCCTGCCCATGGCAGCGGACGGGGGAGAGAGGGAGACAGCCCTCCCGCCTGAGCCAATGCAGTGCATGCCAGGGCCCCTCCACCAGCCCAGCCTGGAAACACAGCTCCCTGCCCTGAGGGGCCACTGATAGACAATGAGAGAGCACCAGTGGGCACGGGCAGGGGCCTCAGTGAGGTGGGCCCCTCCCCACAATGTACACAGCTCAGCCTGGGTTTTAGGCAGCTGGAGGAAAGGGCAGTCTATGCCTGGGGAACGGGGGACAAAGAACAAGTGCTCCTACCCAGCAGCGAGGAAGGGGGATCCAGGTGTGGTGGGTGATGGTGGGAAATTGCCCTGGGAACGTGACTGCACCGGAAATAAGGGACAGGACCCCAGGCTCAGAGCCTGGGGCAGCTCCCACTTTCTCCCCTCCCCAAAGGGCTCTCTGCCCTGCCAAGCGAGGCCCAGGGCAGGAGCTGGAGATGTGGGAGGAGGAACAGGCTAACACCTAAAGGAGGCTCTCAGACCACCCAAGCCTGTCAGTGGAGAAGGGAACATGGGTGAAGTAGTGATGGAGTAGGGAGTGGGGGAGTCAGGCGTGGGAGTTGGGGATGGATTGGAGGTACCAGGAGCGGGCAGGGCAGGGAGGGCCTCAGCAGCGGGAGTTTAGAATTGGGTGAGTGGGTGTCTGTGATGAAAAATGCGGTGGGAAGTTAGAAATAAAATGGCACAGAATGGGGAAGTTAGGGATCAGGGTTAGCCCCTCAGGGTGGGGTATGAATTCAGGGTGAGTGAGGGTCAGAAGTGCAGGTTAGGACCCTCAAGTGGCTGTGGCTTCAGGGATGGGGTCTGCCTCAAGGTCTCCCCTTCCCCCTCCCTGGCTGGGACCACACCCTCATCAGATCTCGGCACCCCAATCCAATTAGTGCTGCACTCTGGGCTCCCACAGCCCCGGGCGGGGAACAAATCTGCCCCACCCCCATGGCCCCACCCTCTTCAGAACATCCTGTCAGAGGACCGACTCAGTCCCCAGGCTGCCCGCCCTCCCTCCCTCCCTCCTAGGCCCCCCAAAGAAGCTTCTCTCTCAAGGACCCCAGAGGGAGAGAGAGACCCCAGCCTCCCCTGGACATTGTCCTTGTGTAGATCCCACCCTACACAAGGGAGGGAGATCCCACCCTCTCCTGCTGGACCGTAGAGACCATTTCATTTCTGCAGAGTCTGAAACTGCCCTCCGCCTTTTGTTTCCAGTGGAAAAGGCCAGAGAGGAGCTAAGAAGTCAGCAGACTTTGCCCCAAGGCCCTGGCCTCCTCTTAAAAGAGCCAAACCAAGCCAAGTCACACCAGTTCTTTATTAGGAGTTAAGTAGGTCTGCTCATCATGGTTACATTTGTGCGCACGCTCTGTCAGGCCTAGAGAGCCTCAAAACAAATCCCCACCTCTGCCCACCCATCTCGGGCCACTGTAGGGACCCAGCGGGTGGCTGCTCTACATGTCACTAGCTGTGATCCTGCAAACAGGTCCCTCATGTGTCCCCCACCATGGGCAAAATGAGAGGACTCCTGATGGAGATATCAGGGGCAAAGCTGGGAGAATCCTGGTGGAGAGGATGCAGGAGAGAGGGGAGGGGGGCGTGGGCAACATGATCGCGACCCCCTCAGGGCAGAAATGGAGCAGATCTGAGCAGACCCTGGCTTGCAGGCACCCCACCTGCTGGAGCAGAGGCTACTCGGAGCAGGGGGGCTCCGGGGGGCAGTCCTTGAAGTAGTCGTGGCAGTAGGTGCAGAGGCAAGCAAGCGAGCGCACATACTCCACAAAGTCCACCTCGCAGTCCTTGTTGGTGTCCAGAACGCTCATGAATTTATTGTAGTCACACTCCCGGAACTCCGTCTGTGGGGGAGTCAGGTAGGGTTGATGGGGGCAGGTTGAAGAAGGCAGGACGCCTTGCACGCACTGCCTCCCTCCACCCCACTCCTGTGTGATCCCACCCATTCCAACCCACACCCGTTCTGGGGGCCGATCTCAGCCTACCTGACCTGGTAACTCACCATGCCAACCCCCTCCTAAATCCTCCTTCTCAGATCATTTGCTAAGCACCCACTAGTGCTGCCGAGTGCCTCTATGTGGTAGGCTTTCTTCCCAGTGCTCTCACCCCATCCTCCCAGCAGCTCTGCAAACCAGCAGGGGCGATGAGGAAACTGAGATTCCTGCCATGTCACTTCCCTTCTTAGTATCCCTCGCCATGGTCCAGCCTCCCCCTCATGCTGTCCTATGCTCAGAGCTTGTCCAAGCAGCGCTTCCCTTCCCTGCAGGGTGCGTCCCGCTGGTGCTCACCGGAGTCCAGGTGGGCAGCTCCTTCTGTAGCAGCTCCTTGAGCTCTTCCTGGCAGAGCTTGTGCTTGTCCCCACAGCGTCCCGCATATTCCTGGAAGGTGCACACGATAGCAGCCACCGCCTTCTCCAGAGGCCTAGCCATCCTCACTGTTACAGAACAAGGATGTGACCCACAGCAGAAGCCCCAATCACCCCGCTTCGCCCCCCTACCTCTACCCTCCATGTTTCCGGGACTGCTGCAGGCCTGCCTTAATCTCCACCAGGCTTCTGGCCTTACAAGCCCCTCCACCTCTGAGCAGCCCATCCTGATTACACCAGTGTCACCTAATCTATTTCCCTACTGCCCATGCCTCCACCCCATTGTTATTTTCCTGAACAGAGGTCTCATTTCCCAGACATCCCTGCAAACCCCCCAGGGACTCCCTAAGGAGTTCCTGATCCTCTCCACCTTTTCTCATCCCAGATGCCCAGGAAGGACTCAGTTGCCTCTGCACCACCCCAGGACATACAGCCCTTGGCACTGGAAGCTTCCTCCCCTTCAGGACCCCAGAGCTTCTTTAGGAACTTACTCAAAGAGACCCTTGCCCCATGCTCCCTGTCCTCAGGTTCTTGAAGAAGCTGGGCATTCTTAGGAAGGGTCAGGTCCAAGAAGGCTCCCCACTGCCTCACCACTCACCACCCTCCTCCCCTGGCTCAGGGAAGCTGCATCCAAAAGAAATACTTCTGGGACCCTCTCTGCCCCCTATTAGCTGCGCTTCCCAGGACGAGCCATTTCCGCCATCTGGTCTCAGGTGCCTTATCTGTAAAGTGGGGTCAATCCCATCTCACAGGCCTGGTCAGACAGGTGTCATAACTATAAAGTAGGGTCTGCCTTATGTCTCAGGCCTAGACAGGGAGCTAGGTTAGGTATTTGCCTGTCTCTAATCTGCCCCATCTGAGGCCATCCCCCTGACCCCTGGGGGTCTCGAGACAGAAGGCTCTACGTAGAGGTACCCAGTTCTGTTAGAGGGGAAACCCTGGAATTTGCCCACACCCCATTCGACTGGCCCATTTTACCACCCTTCTGGGAGGACACTTCCAGCCTGGTGAAGCCATAAGGCAGCCAGGGAGGCCAGTGTTGTTTTCCTGTGAGCCCAGTGACTCACGCCTGGTTCCCCCAGGGGACAGGAGTCTTGCAACACAAGAGCCAGGGCCAAGCCCCTCCCTCGAGTGATTCCCCCTCTGCTGGGCCTATGGAGCAAATGGCCAGCAAATAGTTGTGGCTTTGGGGGAAGAGAAGGCAGGGGAGATGGTGCCAAGCACTCCCAGGGGTCTCTTTGTGACAACCCCAGGTTGGAGCAGGGTATCCAGGTTCCCGGGAGAGGAAAGGGCCATGATTCCAGGGAACAGGGAATCTCAGGGGTGCTCAGCTGCCCTTCTGGGCTCCTGCCAGCCTGCCCGGTGCCACCACTGTTGTTCTTCCAGAAGCTCGGTGCCTGGAGACCGGAGGGAGCCCCGTCTTCCCCAGGCAGCCTGGCTTGTCTCAGCCCGCAGTCAGGAAAGAAAGGAGGAGGCAGGGGGAGGAGCAGGGAACTTACTGAGGGGAGCACCGTGCTGTCAGCCCATTGCTGCCACCCCAGGGCCAGGCCTCAGCTCTGCACACCCCCTAACCCAAACTTCCCAATGGCCCTTCCCTGTACAAGGGAACCCCCAGGTCTACCACATCTGACTCCCTCACCTCACCAGCCCCAGCTCTGGTTATCCCTCCAGCCGCGGGCCCAGACCCCGGGCCAGGAGGCAGACCCTGAGGTGCCTAACGCCCAGTCCAGAGCAGGACCCAAGCAGCTGGCACTTACCACTTGTGCTGATGTTTCAACTGCAGGAGCCTAGAAGCAGGACACCCCTATTTGTAGTCTGCCAGGGAGGGAAGAGAGCAATTACAGGAGAGCCCAAGCAGGTCAAGCTGAGGATGCCCCCAGGCGCTCCCCCCCACCGCCCGCCCCACTTCTCTGGCAGCCCCTATTACAGGTGCTGTCACCCTCCCACCTATCCACGCACACATCAAAGGCCTCAGTCACCGCCGCCTTCATTCCTCCTCTGCCCTCCCCCAGAGCTGGGGACTGGGGCCAGGTCCCGCCCATCTCCTTCACACCCATCCCACTCATCCCCTGCGCTTCGCCCTGGACAGGCACCACAGAATGCAACCTGAGAACACAGTCTAGCCTGGCTTAAGTTTGTACCCCAGAGAACCCCTGCACGGGGCGGGGAGGGGTCTTGGAGCATCTGGTGGATCCTGTCATTTAGAGGTGAGAAGACAGAGGCCAGGGACGCCTCCTGCCCAATCTCCGAACTGCTTTCTGTTTGGTTGCTCTGGGCTGGTAACTGCTCACTTCCCTGGGGAGATCATCCATAGGATATGTCAGGGAGGAGAAATTTTTATTTCACCCTTCTAGGTTCTTTGGCTGGTCCATAATAAAGTTAACATCAGGCAGATCAACAGAAGAAAAAAGGTAACTCCTTTTGTACAGGGGGCTCCATAAGAACATGGGGTCCACAGGTGGTAAGGCAAGTGGGGAGACAAGCCATTTGAACTAAAGGGAAGGGATCTAGAGTCTGGGACTTCAAAGGGAGAAATGTGACTCACATAGAGATGGAATAACAAATATTTGCTGGGCCAGAAAGAGAGGATGGGATGCAGAGAGGACACTGTCTCCAAGCCCTGCTGCATCTCCCCTCCCACACCGAGCCCATAGTCTCTACAGATCTTTCTGGTAATAGTGCTCTTCCTGGACCAGGCCCTTTCTTTAAATTCTTTCAGGCAGCTAAGGGGGATGCAAATGCTCTTCCTGAGACTTCTGGACCTCAAGTGTCTTCAGCTCGAATAATCCACATGCCAGGGTGGCGCATCCTGGAGATACCCACTCCGAACCCTACAGACGTCTTCGAGGCACAGGAGGAGGGCGTGTTGCTCACAGGGGCACTTGCAGCAGTCCGGCCGGGCTGAGTTCTCTCACCAGCCCCTCGCCACCGCAACAACGCCGCGGCACCCAGGCAGCTGGCCCTTACCGCTGGTGTTGATGTTTCAACTGTGGTTGAACCACAGCCCCTCCCCCGCCGCGGCCGAGGGCTGTAAATGACTGCGCACTGCAGACTCCTGCCTGGGCTGCCTATTTCCTGTCTTCTCCAGCTCCGTTCAGCACCACTTTCCTTGCAATCCCATGAGATGGGATGGGTTTCCTCCAGTTTCCAGCTTAAACATGTAGCCGTAGCCGTTTAGGGTCACAGTATAACTTAGAGGTGTCCCCCTTGTCTCCCCTCCTCTAGTGAACCCCGGGCTTTAGCTCTGTCTCCTTCTCTCCACAAACCATCAAAACCAAAGTTCCCTTTGGCACAGTGTGGTCACTGCTTTCAGGACACGAGCAGGCCTGGTGCCCTGCCCACCTCCTGGAGTCTGCTTTTGCTTAGATTTTGATTTCTACATTCCTTACTGCTTTGTCAGCACTTATACTTGAAAAAGAATTTTTTTTAAATTCTAAGCAGCATTTTTTGATGTCTTTAGCTGGAGCAGACACAGATTACCATGTTCCCAGAAATGAAAATCCCTTCTGAAGAGGTTCAGAACAGCTGCAAAAGGTTTCACTTGGGCATGTGAGTTATTTTCAGCTGAAGGCAATCGAGACCCTGTGGGCTCATGGGAAAATTTCCCCTCTCCCTTAAAGAATTTAATTAGGGGCTCTGTCCATAAAGGGAGTATCACCAGAAATAACTTTTACGACCTATCTATGTGGCAGTGCAAACATCTAATTACTGAATACTTGCTCTTTTTATTGTCCAACCAATAACCCTCCCTTCTGAAGCCCCAGGCTCCTGACCCCATCCTTAGCTCAGAATGTCATATATACCTCATTTAAATTTTCTGTCTCTGGACCCTTCCTGTATGTGGGGTTTCCATGTGCGTATATGCAATTAAATTTGGCTATTTTCTTTTGTTAACCTGGCTCATGTTGATTTAATTGTTAAACCAGCTGGAAGAACCTAAAAGGGTAAAGGAAAGTTTCTTCCTCCCCACACTTCATATCCCCTCTCCATTCCTTATCCCTGAGCCTGAGAGACGCCTTCCCATTTCACAGGCAGAGAACCCAAGGCCCAGAAGAGTGTGGGAGAGGGAGGAGAGGTCACCTCCCAGGCCTCTGAAGAAGCCCCAGTGCTCGTGGAGGCAGCCAGAGAAACAACCCCGTGAGCTCACGCTGGGCCCCCAACCCCCGCCGCTTGCCTGTGCCATCGATCAATCGTCTCCTTGAAGACTCAGCCCTGTGGCTGAGGGGAGTGAACAATGAACGGGAGGGAAAGATGGGCTGTGATTAACCCTGTTTTATAGGGAATTATGGGGAGTAGGGCACAGAAGTGGAGGCCAGAGTGGACCAGTAATTAACGAACTCAGTTCTAGGTCAAGCACTTATTCTCGCCTATAATATCCCAGCTTCGCCACCCGCCACCTCTTGGAAGCAGGTCACTCCCCTACCACCACCATCCCTCATTTTCCTCATCTGTCAGTGTTTGAGGGTAATAATGGTAACCACTTCGCAGGATTGCTGTGGGGCTTCAGGGAATTAATCTACACAAAGTTCCTGTACAAATAGTGCCTGGCATATGGTAAGGGCATAAATGTGAACTGAGAGGTAGGTAACTTGCCCAAGGTCAGATAACTGATCAGTGGCAGGGCTAAGAGCCATTTGTTATCATACAAATGTATAGAGACCCCTGCCCAAGGTATTGAAGATACAACCATAAACAAACCTGACAAAGTCCCTGTTCTGTGAAGATGACAATTGAAGGGAGAAATCAGACATGTGTGATACACTGTAAATAGATGAAATGCCGGAGAAAACAATAAGCAGGGTTGAGGGAAAGAAAATGGGGAGGCCCAGGGAACTTTCTATGGGTGGTCAGAGCGAGCTGGGTCACCTGGCTCTCGCGTGACGTCCCCGGCCCCCAGCCTGTCATGGTTCTCAGCCTGGGCCTCTCCCCTTTGTTTGCCCAATGGGAGAGGCTGAGACTTCCAGAGCAGGCCAGGCCGGAACAGGTGGGGGACAGAGAAGGGGGTCTGAGTACAGGCATTTTGGGGTTGGAGGACCACCGGGGAAAGAACCCTGGTGGAGCACTTACCCCAAGCTCCAGCACCTGCTTGCCCACCTGATTCGAGCATACCCCCTACCTAGTTTGGACCTGAATTTCCTTTTCTCCAAAACGTGTTGGGAAGATCCCTATGCCAAGACTCCAATGTGAAATTCTTGCTGTTATGTAGATGATCCAGGGCCAGGGTCCCTGAGTCTCCTCAACAGCCGCCACTATCCCCTCACTGGAGGCAGCGCATGGAGGCAGCAGGGAAAAGGGAGGAGCGGGGAGAGAACCAGGCCCTCCTCACCAGGTCATTTTGTCCAGCCTTCTGCCTCCACGCAGGCGGGGGTAAAGCCGCAACCTCTCTTCCCTTGCTTTCCAAGTTCTTCTCGCGGTAACTGCCCTGCTGGAAGCGCTGCCCACCGTCCACCCCGAATGCCCCTCTCCGCGGTGGTCCCAAATGCACATCACACTAACTGCCTCTCTGAGGCCCTGACAGGCGCCAGTCCTCTTTCCTACCCCCACTGTCTACAATGTCCGCTTGGTTCTCTACCCTGGGGTGGGGCCCTGCCCTTGGCCTCTCACCAGGACTCGCAGGCAAGGTATGGAGATGACTCTGAGAAGGACACCACTTGGGGAGAGTCTCTCCCCACAGAAGCAGCCCGAGAGTAAGAGGGGTGAAGGCAGATGCCATCTTGCCTGGCAGGACTTCTTACAACACTGACCCTCTCCTCAACTCTCACTGCCTCGGTCCCCTGCTATTACCAGTGCCGTCCAAAGGCCTCCTGGGAAACTGCTTGCTCCCATGCAGGTCAGGTCTAGTTCTGCACCTCAGAAAGAAAAAAGATGAAGTGTCCCAGAGCACCTGGGTATTCACGTGTTTGTACCAGAAGGACCTGGGCCTGAGGGACAGGGTGACTCATGGAGCCAATGAACCTCGTCACACTGATTCACCTCCTTTCCCATCATCTGAGCCAAGTATAGAGAGAGAGCGGGAAGGGGTGTTTCATTCCTGGGGCTAGAGCCAGGGAGGTCTTCACTCTAGCACTGGGAGCTCTGGGGGGCAAATCTGAAATGGGATCAAGGAGTGTCTGTGAGGCTTAGACTTACTACCCTTTTTGACGGCCAAATCAACGCCCAATTATGCCCAGTTCACAGATAGGAGCAGTGGGTTGGTGGGGAGATCATGTGACCTAAAGACAGGGAGATCGAAATAGGGAGAGCCCTATTTCAGTCATTCCCCTGTCTCAGAACCCACCTTTGCTTTAAGTCTCTCTTTTCTTAGAGGGTCAGTAGGCTGCAGGGGTTTACCTAAAAGACCAAAAGCCAAAGTGACAACAGGACCCAATGGGAGGTGAGGTCTGCATTCCTAAGGCTCCTGATCACAGTCCCAGTGGGAAGTGAGAACCTGGTAAACGATGCCATTTTCCTGACCCTCCTGCTCTCTGCCTCAGGACAGAGATATGAGGGGAGGGACAGACCAAGGGAAGATTGTTGAGATGGGTTAGGAAAGGCTCATGTTTGTTAGATTGTCAAATGTGCAGAAGGCAAAGTCCTGTTCAGTCCCTAGCCAGGGGAGGGCAGCTCAGAGTCACTGAGGCCCCTCTCCACCAGGCAAATAAGCACCAGGACCTGGAAGTGAGTCCCAACAGAGGATGGGGTCCATGGTAAACAATCAGACTATAATATGCCACCTCCAGCAAGTGGGCCTTTTTCTCCATTGATCCAGAGCATCTGGACTCTGCTCACCTAGGGTCCCTTTCACTAGACACAAAACCAAGACTTTGGAGATGGCTCGGGGAAGGGGAGGAAGGCACAGATTGTCATGCCTATGCTGCATGGGAGTGAGACCTTAGAGACCTGGGTCAAGACCCAGCACTGATCTTCTTAACCTCTCCCAGCCCCTATTTCCTCTTCTGTGAAGTGCAAGAACAGATGGCGTCCCTCATCCGATGTTGAGGAGTCAATGAGATGGTGTTCAAACAGGCCCAACACAGAGCCTGGCCAGAGGGAATGCGCCACGAGTGGCAGGCGTTCTTCCCTTTCAGTTTCCTCATCTGTAAAAGTGCCTAATAATAGCTTCTCCTGATGTTACCACAGGATCGAAATGGCAATGTACACTAACAGAGCTTTGAGAGCTGCTATGGAAATGTTAATTACCATTATTGTGATTCCCTGACCTACATTCACTGGCTCCCTTTCCTACAGGATATTAGGAAAGTGGGCTTCTCATTTCTTATTGCTAGAACCTACCTGGCCTTGCCTCAGCAGCCCCAGACATGCAGTTAGGCAGAACAGTAAGTGAGAACAAGCAAGTTGTCCCAGCACCTCCTCACTCGATTCCTCTCCATCCATCGCTGGGGAGAAGGAACTCCAGGCACAGCCTTGAACTAAACTGGCAAAAGGTGGTGGGATTTTTGGGGGGTGTTTTAGAGTGAATGGTTTCTGAGGCAGAAGCCGGCCATACTTCCAAAGTTGTGCATCTTTGGAATAAAACCTCTTTCCTTTTTCACCAAACCTCTGCCTCCGGAGTTTGCCTACAGGCAGCGGGCAGTAGAACCCCATTTCTGTCCAGTAACAATCCCAGTTAACTCACAGAACCTTAAGAGATAATAAATTTACATTTTAATTCACCAAGTGTTGGGGTGGTTTGTTATGCAGTGACAGGTAACCAGAAGAGTATCTTTGAGTCACTGAACCAAACGTGAATGACACACACCAGACTTGCTATTGTATAAGACAATTAAATGCCAGCATTTAGTAAAGTTTCCTGTAACTTACAACTGAATATATTCCTAACTGGTAGAGAATTTGGTAACTAGGAGTAAAATCCATTAAAAAAAAAAAAAAAAGAACCTAAAATGTGGAATTGGATGGAGAGAAAAGAATAAAATATGAGGACCTAACCTTTGCAACCTGGAAGGTTGGTGATCTTGTTATGAGATGGCAAATCGTGGTCAAATGCACCATAGGATGCAAAATATATGGCAATTTTAGAGAAAATGGCAGAAAAAATCAGAATGTTGCTATGAATTATGTCCCAGTAGCTTTCAGCAGAGACCAACAGGAGAGGCATGAACTCTAGCTAGATCTAGCCAATCTGAAAAGCGGATTTAAAAGGAAATACAGCTTTACTAAAAACAGGGACACGGCCTATGGCCTGCAATCAGACAAGAAGTCCTCAATACAAAACTTTGCTGGTTGACTAGACTAACTCAGGTCTCCTGAGCAGATCTTCATACCATGGCTGCTCACAGTACTGAATGTCAAAGTCTCTCCTTTGTTCTGAGATTATATCTTTCCTTCTTTGTTGGAATTTTCATTTTTTATGAAATGATAGTGATAATAATGGGATTTGCCTTCTTTTCTTTTAAGAGAGAGGGGAAGGGAGGGAGAAAGAGAGGGAAACATCGATGTGTGGTTGCCTCTCATGCACCCCCAGCTGTGGCCCAGCCTGCAACCCAGACACGTGCCCCAACTGGGAATCGAACCGGCGACTCTTTGCTTCACAGTCCAGCGCTCAATCCACTGAGCCACACCAGCCAGGGCTGGATTTGCCTTTTTTTAAATATCTTTATTTGACACCCCCCCCCCCAAAAAAATGTTAGCAAACTATCTCAATTTCCAAATTTTTACTGGTATCTGAAAACCCAAAGCATGGGACAGAAGACACAGCTCTGGCCTTGGGGAGACTCGAGAAGGAGAGTCAGGGCCCAGAAGGGGGCCAGATCTAGGAGGCCCTCGGTTTGCAGCACTCCAGCTGAGCCAGCCAGGTTACAGAGCATCGCTGAACAGTTAAAATATTATCAACAAACAAAAAAGTTTATTGAGGTACAAAACTAAAAAGAACAGAAAGTCCTCCTGGGTCAAAGAGACCCATGGCAGGGAGCCGAGATCTCTGCTTCAGGACCGGTTTGCGTAGTCCTGGAAGAAGTCGTTGCACATAATAGTGACCAGGGCCAGAAAAATACCATACTCCTGGAAGTCTACCTCCTGGTCACTGTTGTCATCCAGGTCTCCCATGAGCTTCTTCAGGCCTTCTTCATCCACCTTCTCCTGCAGGCAAGAGAGATGGAATCATCACCAGGTGGCTCTCCACCCACCTCTACCCCAAACACACACCCACTGGTCAGAGCCCAGCTCTCCCTTTGAACTGGGCAGCCTAGTAAGTGGTGGGAAGAGAGCCCTTGGGAGCTACCCAGAGGCCCTGTGAGTGAGGACAGATGGATGCTCATTGGTGAGAGTGCCCAGCTCTTCCTGCTGGGAGCGGGGAGCATGCCAGGCATCCCCTAAGCACAGAGTCAGCTCCGCTCCCCATAGGAGCCCAGTGGGCTGGGCATCATAACCCCCATTTTGCTGACAAAGAAACTAAAGCTTTCTGGAGCCAGGGCCACTCTCTATTTTCAGCAAGTTGAATTCACAAAAAAGCAAACTTTTTTAAAATCCTCACCCAAAGATATGTTTGTTGATTTCAGAGCGAGAGGAAGTGGGGGAGAGAGAGAGAGAGACATCGATGTGAGAGAGAAACATCGATCGATTGCCTTCTGTATGTACCTTGACTGGGGATCAAACCCACAACCCAGGTATGTGTCCTAACTAGGGATAGAACATGCAACGTTTTGGACCATGGGACAGTGATTCGACCAACTGAGCCACCTGGCCAAGGGAGGCAAGGCACACTTTTTAATACTAGCCAAAATGAAACCAAATTTTAAAAATTTGACAAAAAAAATTTTTTGTTAACTTTTAATTGATTTTAGAGAAACAGAGAAAGAGAGGCAGGAGGGGGGGACACACCGATTTATTGTTCTCCTTATTTACGCATTTATTAATATAGTTGATTCTCATATGTGCCCTGAGGATCAAACCCACAATCTTGGCATTTTGGGACAATGCTCTAACCAACTAAGCCACCTGGCCAGGTCCCAAAAATTTTTTTAAAGGAAAGAAGGACATACATCATAGGTTCAGAGTCTGAGACCCGACTTGGGAATTATCCAGTAGTCGGTATGGTGAGGGCAAGGGGCAAACTGAAAGTTGACTGCGTCTCTCTGCAAATGTCTCGGGACGTGTGTCTTAGCCAGACCTTTCTCCCCCCGTGCACCTTCGTGTGGCATATGAATATAAGAATGGGAGCGAGAGCACACTCTGTGGTCTTGGGCCAGGCACTTCCCCGCCCTGGGCTCTGCTTTGCTCAACTCTCCAGTAAGGATCGAACAGATAGACTTTGAAGGCACTGGCAGCACATCCATTCTCTGGAAAGCTGCAGGGAGCAGCCAGGACTAGGGCTCTCCCCCACTCCAGCCAGGCCATGAAGGGCCTGGCCCCACCCTGGTGTCCATACCAGCAGACACGCCAGAGGGGAGAAGAGATTTAACCAGTGGCCCCACACTCACACGGCAGGACCCTGCCACCCAAGGCCAGCCCCACTCACCCCTACAAAGCTGGGCAGCTCGTTTAGCAGAAGCTCCTTCATCTCCTTCTTACTCAGCTTGAACTTGTCGCCCTCTTGGCCAGAGTACTTGTGGAAGGTAGTGACCATCACAGCCAACGCCTGCTCCAGGGGGGTGGACATCTTGGATCTGGGGCCAAAATGGTGACGGGTGATGGAGACACCTCAGCCCAACCCGCAGGACCACTTCTGCCCTTGCGCCCCAAACTGCCTCTCCAAGTGGGGAAGGCAGGGACTGCGTCTTCCCCTCAGACTGTGGCTCCCGGGGCAGGAGCTACACCCCCACCTCACACTGAGGGCAGATGCTACACCTTCCCCCATGCATGGAAGTCCCCAAGGGCAGGGCCTCATGCCTCCTCTTATCACCCCTGGGGCATCCCTCTGAGGGCAGGGCTCCCCTCTTTGAGTGTCTGTGGAAAGGGAAATGACAGGGGCGCTAGAGTCCCATTTGGCTCCTTCTCAGGCCAGTGGACTCCCTGCCAACACTGGGGCGACAGACATCTCCATGGGCTAGTTAGTGGGCGGTCACTGGGCTAGGGCAGTACCCATGGCTGCAGCCTAGGAGTACAAGGTTCCTTGAGGAGTTGTTTCCCTCCTCAGACAGGGGCTCCTAAGGCCAAAGGGTGTCACTCTCCCATCTAAAGGGGAGCTCCCTCAGGCAGGGATGTTTCCTCCCTCCGACTAGGGACTTTCGGAGGGTAGGGGCTATGCGTCCTTTCATATCAGAGGCCCCTGAGCTGGGGTGCTGGCTCTTTGCAGACGCCTTCTCCACTAGGAAGGATCCTGTTTGGTTTGGAATTAAAGAAATTAAATGTCCAGTGCCCTGGGATCAGGGTGGAGTCCTGGGACACAAGGACAGAACTCAGAGGTCATCTTTCCCAAAGCCCTACCTCTAAAAATGCTCAGACCAGCCCAGGAGGGTTAGGCAGGTCCCAGGATGAGGCCAGTGGAGCTGGTGACAGAGGCAAGAAACCCCCCACCCCCAGCCCAGGGCCCACCCTGCCAGCAAGGGGCGGGCAGAAGAAGGCAGGAAGCTGCAGCCCGCAGGACTGTGCTGCCTCTGGGGCAGAGGCCGTGGGCCCACACATCTGACATCCCTGGTTCTTGGTCCTTTACCCTGCTAGAATCCAGGACTTTAGGAAAAACAAAATGAAACAAACTCAGGATTCTTATTAAAGCACCCACCCACACACTTCATACTCCTAGTCCTGGACCCCCAAGAAGGGCTTAGAATGAAACATTCAGACTGAGAGGCACATAGAGCCTCCCTGCCCCCACACTGAGAGACCCACAGGGAGCCCCCAGACTAAGGCCCAAGAGAAGGCCTCAGAGTAAACCCTAAACTGAGACCTCACAGAGGAACTCTGTGGAAAGAAACTGTCAAAGCTGATCCCTCACAAAGTTCTACCCAAGCAGGAGAGATGCAGAGAGGCCCCAAGCTGATCTACCAAGGAAACCAGAAAGAGAAAACTATGGAGAAAAATCAGGACAAAGAGACAAAGACAGAGCCCCATGGGGATCCTCCCCACCCAGCCCTTAGCAAGACAGAGGTACTCACCAGATCAGAAGGCAGGGAGACTCAGGAAGGAAAGCACAGGGCCAGGTGCCCAGAGTGGGGATTTATATGCCAGCCCCTGGCCCTCAACTTGGCATTTCCAGGAAATTGAACATGCCCTAACCTGATCCCGTCAGAGCCTGGCCTTCAGCCACCCCCACGCTCTCCCACCTGGTACCCTCCCTCTCAGAGACTGCCATCTCTGCCACCAGCTGGAGAACAGCTCTAGGCCCAAAGGCACACCCAGGCCCCAGGGGGTGGAAGGTGTCATGGGGAAGGAGCTCACTGGGCTCAGGGCTCATGGGCCTGGAGACTCATGTTAGGCCTTGTTCTCATGACATGCCTGTGAGTCACAGCTTATTCATGTGTCACGGGCTACAAAGGCACATTGGGATTTCACAGGCCTGTGTGCGTGTTTGTGTGTGCGTGAGAGAGAGCGGTGTGTGTGTGTGTGTGTGTGCGTGTTTGTGTTTAAAGCAGTCCGGGACCACCCATAGAAAGCTGGGGGCCAAAAAAAAAAGTGGGGAGGGCACAGGAGGAGGAGGAGAGTAGGGCTGACTTCAGGGACTGGGGGCAAACGAAGTTACTCTTTACAGCCACCACCAGAACACCTGTTAAAGAGGTGATGAGGAAAATGGGTTTGCTTAAAAATACCTTGAAAGGCCCACTTCGGGTAGGAAAAGTTCTGGAAGGAGATACAGACACAATGAGAGATGGCTCTGTCTAGAATCAGAGTTGGGTGAGCAATAGACTGTTCCGAGTGTAAGGGAGTCCCGAGCTGAAAGGGAGAACAGAGTATTTGGGCCTCCTCTTCTGCAGCGTAGGGGAGGGGTGAGCGAGGAGGGGTGCGACAGCTTTCTAAGCCCGGAGGCCAGTGCTAGGGCAGAAGCTACAGGCCCCAGCTCTCCCTCCCCCTCCTCGACAGGCCACACCTACCCCCGGAGAAAGGTGAGCATTGTGGACATTCAGGACCCAGCCGAGGGTGGAAGTTCCTGGGGCAGAGCAGGATTCATGCTGCCCCCTCCCAGGCCTGCTGTTTTGGTCTATCCCAAACCCAGCCTGGGCACTGCTCTTCCTGCGGGCCTAGCTCACCTCCCCCCTCCAGATGTCCAGCAGACTTTCCTCCACCCCAGGCCCCCACGCTTCTCCTAGTCCTGGGTGACTCACCCGTGGTGAAGGCCCAGATGCCCCAGGCAGTGACTCAGCAGCACCCTCCCCGCCCTCCCCCACCAAGGCCAGGGCAGCAGGCAGAAACCCCAACCCTGCCTGAGACCCTTCAGTGGCTCACCCCCGGGGAGCTGTGGGCTACCACACGCACAAAAGCTCGGACTGAGAACTGACTAGGATCAGCTATGAAGCCAACTGGTCTCTTCCTGAGGGTCACCTTGGGACTTGGGGGGCAGCCAAGTACCATAGATAAAGTCAGGCCTTGGAGCCCCAATGTCCTCTTCTATACCTTTGCATACCACCCAGTGTCCTCTCCTTCCCAAGGCACCTGAACCTCCCATGCTACCGCCCTTCCTCATCAAAACCCATCACACGGAGCTTGGAATAAAAATTCTTTACCCTGAGTGTTAAATAAGACCGATGGAGTGTGAGGAACGAGTGAAGAAAACAAGACGGAGTCAGTACAGCTAAGCTGACTTAAAATGGATTCTTTATAGTCAATCTGACAAAACTGGTTCAGACCAAATGGGCTGAAGCACAAGGAATAAATTTTATTTTACTTTAACTAACCTGAGGACTTAAAGTTTTGAACTTTCCGGTTGTACATCAATGCCTGGAGATACAGAAATTCCTACAGATAGCCCTCTGAAGGACTGAGGAAAGAGTGTTCCCTAGTCCAGACCACCTGACATCCATTATCCAGACCTCTGAACATCTGGAAGATTATTTTCATAGACCAATCCAGAGGCTAAGAATGCAGAACAGATTGTTCTCAAGAATGTACTTTTTCCTATAAGAACTCTCAGCTTTTCTTTCTTCTTCAGAACACTCTGGGTATGGCCTAGTTGTGTTTTCAGTTTGCGAATCCTAAGACCCTTGAATAAATCTTTGTCATTTATTTCTAGCCGAAGCCTCCTGACTAGTTTGTGCTCAGCAGGTGCAATGCATTTTTTCTCAGCAGTTCTTCCATTTTAACTGAGGTTTTAGCAGATGCCCCTTCTGCTCAGAAATTGCAGCGGTGTCCCCTGGCTCTTCTACAAAGCCCAGCAATAAGGCCCACCTGCTTTCCAACCTCCCCTGCATATGCCCTAACTGCCTTGCTCATTGTGCCTGAACATACAGATACTGTACCTGACGTGGCCAAGACCTTTTGCATGTGCTGATCCTTCTGCTCAGAATGTGCAGAGGGATCCTGTTGAAATCCCAAAGACCGGTTATATGCCATCTACTTCATGGAGCCTTCCCAGGCCCAACTGGATTCCATCTCTATCTGCTCTGACCCATACAAAGCACTCCTTTTGTCCTTGTGTACTTAGAGCACTCTGCTGTAGATTGGATGACTTGTGCACATGTCTTCTCTTGCCCTCACCCCCATGTGGTGAGCTCACTGGGCAGGGACTGGGTCTTACTCATTTCTGCATGAGCAAAGGGTCTCTCCCACACCAGATGCCAACTAGTGTTTATGGTTACTGAATAGCAACAGGGATTAGGGAGCACTAGGGGTAGGCATTTAGGAGTCAGGAGGCCTCCTCGCCTCCCCAAGCTACATTACTAGGTCATAAAATCCTCTGCATCCCAGGAGTGGAACTGAGGCGCTGGGTTGGAAAACAGAGCTTCAGAGAGCTGCAAATCCCCGAAGAGTGACTGTAGGAAACATCTCACTCCGGGGACCCAGTGAGCAAACTCCCCCTCAGGGAGAGACGGAGACAGGAGGGAGAAACACAGAGGCAGACAGATGGAAACTGGGAGAAAAGATCAGAGAAAAATGGTCACAGAAACAAAGGAAATGTGAGGGAGAAGGAAATAAGGTGAGAGAGACAGAGGGGACCTGAGCCAATGATTACTAAGGACCCCACCTAGAGACCTGTCCCTAACCAAGGAACTGAGGCCAGAGGAAGTCCATCAAGTGGCCATATGCCTGAGACTGGTGAAAATCACATTAATTTGCCATTAACGTGCTATGTGATCTTGAGCCACACCCCTTCCATCAGCAAAGCAGGAAGGTTAGATAGAACCAATCCTAGAATCCAATCCCTCCCTTGATTTTTCACTTCTCCATGATGGCAGAAAAGCCCGGACACAGACAGGCAGTGGCCACGCCCAGGCTAAGAAGCTAAGTCCTCATTCTGTCCAACACACAAGAGCGCACACACCCCAGTTTTTCCACCAGCAGCTGGTTGTTTTTGCCTGCCTGATCTGTGCCCCCTGGTGGTTCCCTGCTCTCTTTCCCTTCCTCTCATGGGTCAGCCCTTGCCTGGCCCTGCTCCTGACTCAGATTCATCTCCAAGGAGCCTTCCCACACTCACATCCCTCAAATCTGCCTCATGCACAGTATAAGGTGTTTCCTGGACAGTCCCAGGTGGATTTTTGGAAGTAAGCCAAATGCCTGGAAACTATTTTA